CCCTGCCTGGTAGCTGATAGCTCCTGTCCTCAGGCGTACTGCAGAGCTCAGGCAGCCCAAACTGCCAAGGGAGCCCGCCCAGCGTAGTTTTTCTAGACTTCCGGAACGTTCTGCGTTTTGTTTCCTCAGGCACTCTGTCCCCAGCAGGGATCAGGGGGTCGACAGGACACTCAGTGACTGCGCCCGGCCGTAATCGGCTCAATTAGACTTACTGTTGCAGGATAAGCGTTGCCACGGGGTAGCTTAAGACATTCCCTGCGGAGTTTCCACCAGCAGGGGCCTGACTCTGAGCTGGGGTCAGCGGCTTGTGTAACTGGATATGGACGTAGCCCACAGTGAGTGTAAGCCAGATTGAGTCTTCTTTCCAGATATAAGACAGTTTCACAAATGAGATGAGGCCAGTCGCTGGTCTTTACTAGCTGCTGTGAAAACCTTGGCTAAGGCCTCCTGAGCAGAGGTGTGGTACTATTATAGACCATAATATAATGATAATAATAATAATAATTGACACTTATGTAGCTCTTTTCTGGACTCTCCACTCTGAGCTCTTTCCAGGTCATGGGGAATCCCACTGCCACCACCAGTGTGCAGAGTGATGAAACCAGTTAATAGAGGATTATTAGGAGGCCATGACTGGTACTCCAGTACGACACTGTACTGTATAATACCGTTACTGTATAATAATAATTCCCTATGCTTATACAGATCCTGTCTGGACTCTCCACTCCAGAGCTCTGTCCAGGTCAGGGGGAATCCCACTACCCCCACCAGTGTGCAGCCCCGCCTGGATGATGCTCCAGTCCTCTCACACACACCAGCTCTCAGTGGGGAGGAGAGCAGAGGGATGGAGCCACAGACACACACACACTCACACCTGAAACAGAAACAGTCCCTGGACTGTGTAAAGGAAACTGGAGCGCCTGGAGGAAACCCCCTCACAAAAATGGGGGAGAGAACATGCAAACTCCACACAGACAGCACCCCAGGAACTGGACCCAGGATCCCAGTGCTGTGAGGCAGCCAGGTTACCCACTGCACCACCAACCAGGAACAGAAAGAAACCAAATTCAGACCAGCAGCTCGATCGTCTAGGGGTGAACGAAGATCTGAGGGCAAGGAAATGGGGATACAGGGTGTTGCAAATCTTTGACGTCCGAAGCAGTCTTTATAGATGTACAAAGAGGGTTTTCCCAGCAAGGGCTAGAGCTCACGAAGGGATTTTTGTGGGAGGGGGGGTTGAGTCGAACGAACAGCCTGCTGGACAAGGGAGACTACCCTTAAGGAGCTTGCCGGCCCTTATTAAGAGCTGTTGCATAAAGACCTTAAAGCAAAACTCAGAGGTGGAATCGAACCCCCCTTTTCTCACAGACAGGAAGATAGGCTCTGAGGCCATCGGGGCCCGATTCCTAAGTCCCAGCTGGAAGGGAGCTATGGCAGACTTTTAGGGTGAAAAGCTGTCTGGCCCAAAATCTGGGATCCAACCTCCCCCAGCCAAAATCCTGGAACAAGGTACAAGGACTAAAAAAGACAATTGAACAAGATTTCTCCCTATGTCCTTGTCTTTGTGCACGTCCGTCTTGCTTTCCTGTCACAGCAATTCAGCACTACATGATGTGTGCGTACTAAGTACAGTAGCTGATCTCCCTGGGTCCAAGTTTCCCGAACGAGAGGAGACCACGTACTGCTTTTTACTAGCTACTTGCTGTTGAGACGTTATCGCACTGGGCCTTGAAAGGAACCTGGGTGATCATCTCTCAGACACACAGCGGGGCTGCTTGTTCCCCCCTCCTACCACCCGTTGTGCAAAGTCGTCGCGCAGCCGCGGGAGGCCGCGTGCAATGCGCGTACTATCGGGAAGGAGACGGAAGATGGAGACGGCGTTTGAAAAGCGGGATGATTCTTTAAGATCTCATTCGAGATAACACTTGCACGTTGCCGTTTTTGGTACTCTCATGCGCGACTGCTGGGTTTTGCGTTTCCATCGTGATAACGAAGCACCAAGTGCGCCTTTTTTTTTTTAACCGAAGCCGAAACCCAGTTGACGACGATCGTTTCTTTCAACTGTCATTAGGGGTAGCTGCGACAGCGTGCCCCCGGTCCCCAGAGCGACCTCTTTGAAGTCCCCAGGCTGCCGGGACGTCTCGGAGTTCAGCTGCTAAGCGCCGATAAAGCTCACCCGGATTGACACCGTTCTCTGCTTGCGCTCCTAAATCGGCCAACGGTCATAGAAACGCGGCTCAAAACAACACAAAACAAAACAACTCGAGCTACCGAGTCTGTGAGGCGAAGTAACGCGCCCGGGGTACGAGACACCCAGCCGAGTTCTGCCTAGTCAGTCAGAGAGAGCGTTTTCTGCGCGCTTGACACGCCGGGGTGTCGGGGTCTTACCAGCTCGATGCCACGAACGTCCCTGAAACGCACCGCCTCCTGCACGCTCCTCGGGGGGTGGTCGGTGAGGAAGACGCCGTCGCCGCCCAGCACCGCGTACATGAACGCCTTGTTGGCCGTGTCGGAGACGACGACGCACGGCTCGTAAGCCCGGATCTCCTCGTACACCCTCCGCTCGGTGTGCCTCTTGAGGAACGAGTCCAGCCGGCTGTTCCTCGGGCACGGAAAGCGGTCCGCGTAGCTCCCGGCCATGGACGAAGAGAGAAAACGGGGAGGAGGGGAGGGGGAGACCTCCGAAATCTTTCACACCTGTTTCTCAACCGGGTGTCAGGCAGAAGGAGCAGCTTCAGCGCCGGCTAAGCGGAGCTCCGAGTCTCCAGTGTCTTACACCCGGTGACGCGCACGCTCTTCTGATTGGATCGAGACTTTTCGCGCAAAACACGCCCGCAAAATCGGGCACTGCCCCCCGCGCGACCATTCTGTACCCCACGAACACAGGAGTGCACAGGAGGGGCACCCCTCTAAATAGGAGGCGCAGTGTCTCCTCAGGGTCCTGCGTAAAACTGAACCAAGGCGTCTTTTTTTTCCCCGCACAAGAAGCACCTCTGACGGTTACCACTACCTCCAGTGCTTTCCAACGAGCCGAAACACAGGCAACCTTTAACGTGAACTAAGCTCCTATTCGCGACTGGCTTCTGGAAATTATCCCTGGTGTGAGTGTGTGTGTGTGTCTGTGTGTGTGTCCTGCGACGGACTGGCCCTGGTGTGAGTGTGTGTGTGTGTCTGTGTGTGTGTCCTGCGACGGACTGGCCCTGGTGTGAGTGTGTGTGTGTGTCTGTGTGTGTGTCCTGTGATGGACTGGCCCTGGTGTGAGTGTGTGTGTGT